ACGGAGGATGGCACAAGTCCTCAAGACGGCTGTTTCCCCAGCCCGGGTCCGCAGACCTGGTGACCAGGTTACAAACGCTGTTCTTGGACCACTCCCCCAAATTCCGAAGTAAGAGTTTGGGGGACAAACCACTGAGACCCAACCTTCATCCAGGCCAGGTGCGCCACAGGGCTATTTTTAAATCCTCCAAGAAAACATGAGTCTAAAATAGTCTTTCCATAATAAATAGCAGTAATTCCCTTGGCGTTTTCCCTTCTACCTACCTAGACCACTTGTGGTAGAGAGAAGAGTCTCTCTTCTTTACCAAGGAGGGCCATCTACCCGTGTGCTTGATCCCACCCGGCCTCAGGCCTCCATCTTGCTGTGTCGATTCACGGTCTCTACCCTTCTCAATTTTTATGGTTATTATTTGCCCTCAGCCCTCCTTCATTTGAGAGTCTCCCTTCTCCCAGTTACTATGACACAATAGTCTTCTGGTTCTCCTTCTATTTCTTTGATCAGTCCTTCTCTTCCCACCTAAGTATGTATTCCCAAGCTCTTATCCATTGGCCTCCTCTCTCCTGCTTGTCTCCTTCAGGAACTTCATCTACTTTGATAACTTCATTGAGCACATCTAGGAGGGTAGTCCCAAATCTTTACCTCCCTCCAGCCCCAGATCAGCATTTATAACCCTTTATTTGACATCTTCACTTGCTTGCCAGATCCAAACTCCTTACCCTCCATGTGGTATAGCTCTTTCCTCTGGCTTCTGCGTCTGTGTTCAGGTCAGCACATGGGCTGCAGCTCCCACACATAGCTGAACTTAACATGAATTTTCCCCACTATTATTATCATTATTTTCCTGCCTCATTGGTTCCCTCAAACTAAGCAGCTTTCCATTTTTTGAATTGATAGTTTCCCTTCTGCAGATGTTTACAAAAAGATTGAACCAAATCACAATATTCTAAACTTACACACAGCACAGAGCTCTGATCATCTTCAACATGCATGGCACAGACCAGACCAGTCAAATTTTTTCCCTAGGTTTATTCTAAGTGGAATGAACCTAGAAGGACCCTTGACACCAGGGTCAGAGAACTAGAAAGATGAAAACCCAAGACTTTTGTACATTCCATAGCGTATCTGTTCACTGTCCTCTGAATACAGTCAAGTTTTCTTTCTGCCATGTTATCATCCCTCCCCTCCTTTCTACGAGTTGAAATTATATCCATCCATTGCTCAAAATTTACCACAAACAGCATTTACTCCTCAATTCTGTGGTCTCTCCCTTCTTTGAACCACTCCCACTACAGTGTAAGCTTCTTAATGACTGAAAGGTGTCTCCCATTCATTTCTTTATCTGCCACCACCCCATCCCCCAGCCAGGCACAGGGCCTTGAAGTACATAATAAATGTTAGCTCCTTGATGTCAAAGAAGTATGTCCGATCACCAGTTTTTGTATAATACCTATTTCTTTTATTCTAACATGCACATTTTTCACAATTTAGTGTTGGTAAAATCAAGATTCATCTTATAATCATTGGCATGCTATAATTTAATTAGCAGCAATTTTTCTTTCTTAGTAGTACATAAAATATGGATGCATCTTACATTTGATGGTGTCTTGGATTCAGTGAAGTTAAGTGCCATTCAAGCATCCCTGATAACAATTATGTTTACTCCTCTGTCTTCTGCAATCTAGGGTGAAACCTTCCATGTTCTCGATATTTCCTTACTTCCTGTTGTCTCCTCTCAACCTCCTTTAATCTTCCACTTTCTCAAGTACAGTCAGACTATTACACCGCAATAAGGCAGTGCTGAACACAATGGTGTCATTGTATCATGGTCCCACAGGATAAAATGCTGTTCATGATTCTTAACATGTTTGCTATAGAATTAACTCCATTTGAATACATAAGCTAGTTAAAATACATCTTAATTTTTTTTACGTGAACAGGCCACCATGTTATATGAGCCTCAATTTATGAAGACAACATAGTCAGAAGCAGAGTAGTGCTGGAATTAAATAAGATAACCAAAGCAATAGGATGTATTTAATGACAATGTAATTATCATTCGTTGAGCAGCGTTGTGGCCTAGGAGAGGCTCTAGAGGGTAAAGGTTTCTAAACAAGTCCAAACGCCCTGTACCACTCAATCATCCTTGTTTACGTACTTTTATTCTTCATTTGTCTGTGAGGGTGGGAAATCCAGTGGTCTTGGGCCAGGCAACTCATGGAGGGGAAGCTGTGCTCATTAGCAGTGACATGGGGGACCTGCCACGACCCCTAGAAAAGAGCTGGTCTCTCACCTCCTCTTCCCACAGCCTAGGATCCAGCCAAAACAGAAGACTTGCCCCACAAACCCTATACTCAGCAATCTCAAATCTTCCTGCCTCTCTCGTGACTTTGCTTAGGCTGATCCTTTCACCTACAGCAGCGTTGTCTAACAGGACTTTCTGTGATGGTGGAAATGTTCTATAGATCTGCAGTTTCCAGTAGTGTAGCCACCAGCCACATGTGGCTATTGAGCAGCACTTGAAATGCGGCTAGTGCAATGGGGCAAAAACTGAGTTTTAAATTTTATTTAACTTTAATTAATTTAAATTAAATGGATACATGGCTAGCGGCAACCCTACTAGACATCACAGATCTAGCATGTACTTTTCTACATGGGCATCTAGCATGTACATTTCTTCTTCTCCAAATCCCCAACCTTTGAGGGGCAGCTCAGAGGCTGTTTTCTCAGGAGATCCAGTCTTCCCAGTGAAAATCATTCTTTTCTTCTTCAGAATTCCCATTACACTTTGAACCATCATTGTAGTAGTTAACACTTTTTAACTTATACGTGTTTGTATCTCATGTCTTCTATCAGTCTCCTCTCTGAGAGCTGTGACTATCTCTTTGTCCTAATTTGGACCCCACTATACTTCATTCAGGGATGCTTTAAAATGTTTGTGGCATGAATCTTTAACAGTAGAATAGCAATTAACATTAGCAATAAGGAATTGACAAGGATTGCTGTGCAGTAACAGATTAACCTTGCCAAAAGAAAGGCTTGGGCCTTGGCCTCCAGCTCCTGGGATGTAATTTCTAAACCCTTGCAATGTCCTGCCTGATAGGAAGGTCTTTGTTTACTTGGGGGCCTTGGGCCATGCCAGGTGGTCTGTGCTAACAATGTGATTTATGATGGGGACCTTGAGCTAAGAGTTATCAGCTTGACCTCCAGAAAGTCTGGAGACTGGGGTCAGCCATGTGGGCAGTAGCTGTATCTACATGGCTGACCCCCAATAAAAACTCTTGTACACCTTGACGGGCTTGGGTGAGTTTCCCTGGTTGGCAATAGTCGGTGCATATTGTCACACGTCATTGGTAGGAGAAATAAGCTCCATCTGCATAACTCCTCTGGGAGAGAACAACTGAAAGTTCTGTACCTGGTCTCTCCTGGACCCCACCCTATATGCCACTTCTCTTTGTTGATTTTAACCCGTATCCTTTTGCTGCAATAAACTATAACTGTGAGTATAATGGCTTTTCTGAGTTCTGTGGGTCCTTCTAGTGAATTATTAAACCTGAGAGTGGTCTTGGGGACCTCCCAAACTTGCAGTTCCCCAAGGTAATCTATGTCATATGGTTGCCTGGAGCCAGCCCTTCTGAGAGTTCAGCTCCTTGAATCCCAGCCCTGATCATACAGTCTCTGGCCAGAGATGATGAGTCTGGTCCTTAACATGGACAATGGAGTGGTAAAGCAAGTATCTGGGACCAGGATCACAGAAGGAGTGTGTACGGGGAACAGAAGAAACGGATGGGGGACTAGTGCGGGGGAAGGAGCAGAGAAGCTGGGATGTGTACAGCAACTGTGTCAGCAGTCATGACGAGGGAGTCAGTGAAAGGATCAGGTAGCTACAGGCCCTCGACCTGAAACTCTGGAGGCTCTGGCAGCCATGTGTGCTCTAATCCTCAGAACTAAGGATCCCTGCCCGTGGGAGTCATGAGCCGTGGAGCAGACTCACAGGCCAGAGCTTGCTCAACCGAAGGCCTCTCTTTGGCTGTACCATTTGTCTACTCTTGACCAAAGGACCAGACACCCAGACCCTGAGCAGGAAGGTGGTAGGGGCAGCGAGGGAAAAAGCAGAACAACTTCCATCAATAAACAAGAAATCTGAGGTGGGCATTCCCTCCCTACTCCCCCAGAACAGACTTCTGATCCCAAGTGTTATGATTTAGGAAAAGGCCCCCTTCTCAAAATTGTGTCCTTTATACCTCCAGAAATTCTCCTAATTAGAGATTCACTTAACTAGCAAACACCTAACACAGGGTTGAGAGAAATGGCCATTCACAACTTACTGTAGATTCAATAAATCAGATTACCTGCCTAATCTGAGCTTAGCTGCATTAGAGGAAAGAGTCAGTAGCTCACGGGGGTAAGGGGGAAGTCATTCTAGAGTGCGGGCACTTCTGGTCAGCATAGGTAGCGTCCACGGGCTGGGGGCAGGGCTTGGACACAAGGATTACTGAGGACACTGGTCAGCTGGGGGAGAAGGGAAAGAGCCCATAAAGGGAGGTAGCATGGCATCAGAAACAAATTCCCAGACCTATGCCTCCTTCTGCCCCAAGACCAAGTTCTGCTATCACTAATTCTCACGTCACTGTCCCTCCTCCCAGAGGTAGGCTTGTCCTTCATGGTGATTGCAGGAGACAAGCATTGAGCTGGCTTCATGAGGGTCTCACGGGAGACTGGAAATACTTTTCTAGACAGACCTAGGAGTAAAACCATCAGCAAACAGAATGGCTCTGTGGGGTAGTGGGAGTTGAAGGAGAGAGAAGGGCAGAAGAACTTTCTGTCATATGTAGAATGACTACAGGCTTAGAGAAAATCTCTGAGAAAAGAGACTTCTATTTGTTCATTTCCACAGGACCTGGCACAGGGTGGGTTTTCAGTATTTAGTGACTGGTTGAATGGATGGATGAATGAATGACATCCCCTCATATTGCAAAATCATGCAAGTTGCCAGACTCACACAGGTCAAATCATTTCTTATTTGGGATCTGAGTTTTTTCCTTCCTAAGTAGGCACTTAATCCAGTTGTATGGGTTCACAGATATTTTAAACCTATTTTGAATCCTAATTTCCCATCTCCTATCCAGAATGCCCCTAAGCTTGCTCTTCATTTTTCCCTTCCCCTTTGCAACTGAATCCTAGGCTTCAGAAGGGTCTTAGAACATCTGAGAGGCAGGTGAGTCTTTTTTTATAGGAAGGGGGCTCTCGTGCACCTGTTCAAACACGAGAACGGAAGTCAGTCTCAGAGAGGCATGAAGTGGAACACAGAACACAGCATGAGTGAGGAGCAAACCCATGAGGTCTGGGGAAGTGCATCTGGAGGGGTCCTGGCTCCTCTGAGAGATGGGGCGCCGCTCATGGTGGTCCGGGAGCTGCTGCGATGTCTGGTGAGGGGAGCGTGGTCAGCAGGTCCATACGTGGACGGCTGGCCAGGCCCCAGAGATGTCTATGCCCTTTCCCAGGCACAGCCTCGGAGCCCCTAGGAAAACACTGACCAATAAATTAAGTTGAAAAATATGAAGGAGGCGGGGAATATCAACCTGGAGTATTTGTCAATGGCATGGGTGTTCTGGAAGATGCGAAGACCCATCTGGCCCTTCAGAAGCCCCTTCTTCCTGGAGGAGTTGGATTCACTGCTTAGGGCCAGGTGGACAACTATTTTGTCTTGTCTTTCCTCCTCTGTCAGGATATGGTTTCTCGGGTACCCGGCCAGGCTGTTGGCCTCAGACTCACTGTAGCTTCCATCCAGCATCATGGTTCTTGACTGAGGCATTTCACACTGTGGGCGGCAAATACAAGGGGAGGTGTCAGGCATATGTAGGTTTCTGAGACGGGCAGAAGAGGTGCCCGGACTGACAGCAAACACCTCAACTGCAGAAGCAAAAACCAAGACACAGAGAGACTACACAATTCTCCTGAGATCACACAGCTAGTGTCAGAGTCAGGACTTTAAAACCACACATTCTGACTCCAGTTGTGGGACTCCACCTGTCTGTGCATGAATCAAAAAATGGTTAAGTAGGAGAGTGTCCTTACTCTAAAGGGCTACACGTACGGGTAAAGGGGCATGGTGCCTGCAGTGTATTTTTAAATGGTTCAGCTGCACCAACAAAACTATGTTTACATGGAGAAAGAGCTCATACAAAAATGGCAAAACGTTAACAATGTTGGAGGCAGGCGCAGGTATATGGATGTACATTATCCTATTTTTTTTACTGTTTCTGCAAGTATGAAAATGCTTATAAGAAATTAAAAGTTGATGCAGTCTATACAGAAACTGATGTATAATAATATACATCGGAAATTTACACGATGTTATACGCCAATATGACCTCAATAAAATAATTTTTTTAAAAAAATTGTAAGTTGGAGGGAAGGAAATGGTTCCGCTTAACTTCTCTCCACAAATGAGTCAGCAAAGAGAGGGCCTCTGGTGGCGCCTGCCAGGGAGGTGTCAGCCTAGGCGTGGGGCCTGCCTGACACAGCCCAACGGCCTGAGATGGATTCTTCTCAACCTGCAGCCTCGATGTTTCTACTCCGGCTCTCAGCCCTGCAGAGCCTCTGTTTTTCCATCTGGGAAAGTGAAATAACGACGTTTCACAACCTGCCTCCTATTGTGGATCTTGAAACACTCCAATGGGTACCATGAAGCTTTAGAATGCAGACATAGGTGAATGACTTTATGTAAAATCAGAATTTGTTTAAGAATTCTCATGCGTGAAGAAATCTTTGGTGGTTTGGGGAGCTATTTTTTTTTAATTGGACACGATGAATTCGTTATTTCTGTGTCTGGTCCCATCAGCAACGATAATTAAGGAGCACATTAATACATTGCTAGAATAGTTAACTGATAGATTTTAGGTATAAAAGGTCATCTAGGGGCCAGCCCGGTGGCTGAGTGGTTAAGTTCCCACGCTCCGCTTCGGTGGCCCAGGGTTTCGCCAGTTCGGATCCTGGGCGCGGACATGGCACCGCTCTCAGGCCATGCTGAGGCAGCATCCCACATGCCACAACTAGAAGGACCCACAACTAAAATATACAACTAGATACTGAGGGGATTTGGGGAGAAAAAGCAGAAAAAGAAAAAGATTGGCAACAGTTGTTAGCTCAGGTGCCAATCTTTTTTTTTTTTTAAAAAAAAGGTCATCTATTTAATTCTTTGTATTTAGGTATAATCACACTCAAACTTTGATAAAATCGTAAGATATTGTTACTGGGGGCTTTTCTTTTTAAGACACAGATCTTCTTTCTTTGCTCTAAACTGAAATTCTTTCTGCTAAAATGAAGACAGGCTTTTCTCCTAAGATTTTGAGTTAGAATCAGGAAATGCCAAAAAATTATGATACATCTCTATTTTTCCATAAATCAGCTTGTTTCTGAGAGAAATTAAGTGGCTCCTGGCATATTGCGCAGGTCTGGATGGTCAGCCATGGAATTCGAGCACGTCCACGGGAGGCAGACCCTGTGGGCCCGCACTCTGCTTGCCAGCTTCAACCCAAAGCAGCTCGCGTCCCCATCCGAGGCAGGGTGCACCAAGCAGGCTCCAGCCGGCTTTGCCCTTCGAGTGCTGGAGGTCAGACTTGAGCGAGCATCAGAACCACCTGGGAGCTTGTTAACAATGCGGTTTCCAGGCTGCCATCCCTGGAGATGCTGAATCAGTAGGTCTGGGCTGCAGCCCCAAAATCTTCGCTTTTAACAGGCTCAGAAGGTGGCTCGAGGCCAGTGCTCTTTGGCTCTCACTTTAGGAACCTCAGCTCCACCAGGGGCCATTTTAACGGTCACGAATAGCGGTTTCTCTGTGATGCAGCAGGAGACAGATTTTGTGACTTCCCACCAAGGTCTGCCCCCTAGCAATCACAGCTTCTCAGCCTTTCGATCACACGTTTGATGTTTGACAACAGTGTAGACAAGCTCTCCCCTCCCGGGTGTCTGTTCTCACACAGACAGGGAGCTGGACTTGGGGCCCAGTGGCCTTTCCGCGTGTGATTTCCCTGGTGCTCTTGAGGCGGTGTCATATCAACTCCAGCAAAGACCGGCCTGTGCCATGGTCACAGCCTCCTGAACTGCCTGAGGACAAGCTGGGTGCAGTTAACCGTCCACGAGTCCACATTCTGGCTCTGCTATGTTTTGAAGTACTCTATACAGGAAAGTCTAATGGATTATAAATCAAAAATGTTAAATTATAATCCAAAGGCATTTGATAATGATCAATGTACAAATTACAGAAAATGTGAACGAATACTCAAATGCTGAAGTAAGAAAGGTTTGAGTAGAATTTTAAAAATAAATTCTTAAACAATCTAGCATATTTAGAGTCAATGTGGAAATATTAACACGTAAAATGTGGGCATTGAAAGACTATTTTTGAAAAGGCAACACATTCTCTTTTCCTAAAATTTAAATCTATTTTATGCTAAGGAGCTACCAGCCACCTAGATGGCCATAAATGTGGGATTTTCATGTTCCCTGATCTCTATCCCTTTTAGGTTAACACCCATTTTGATTAGTGCAATGATCTGGTAACAAGTTGGCATTTTATTTCTTATTGTGATTAATAAGAGTTTGAATATGAATAGAACAGACTTTCACTTCCTGTGCCAAAGGCTCATGCCTGGAATTCCCCATCTGCGTTCTATCTATAGCGTAGTGCGGTATATTATAGATAGTATAGTATTTCCAATGAGTCTAAAGGCCCAAGTCACATGTGGCTGAATTTTCACTGAGCCAGAGCACTGATAAATACAGAAACTTTTTATTCTAGAACTTTCCCTTGTCTGGTCATAGGAGATGGGGGCATTCTCCTCAGACATGTTCAGTAATAATAGTGATACTGTACATGTGTCTAGAACCCTACAGTTTCAAAACAACTTTCACATACATTATCTCGTGCGACCCTCACAATAACCCTGTGGGGGAAGGTGGGGTGAGGGTTCTGTTATACCTTTTTTACAAATGAGGAAACTGAGGCCCAGCATAAGTGGCCTAAGAACCCAAGTCTTCCTGTTCCTACTCTTTGTCCAAAGACTTTCTGCTCTCTGAGATTTTTTGTGGTAGAAGCTAGAACATATTCTAAGATGGATCCTCCTGCTTTTGCATAAACATCTCCCTTTTCTATATGCAATGCCCACCCCCCCACCCCCCCCCCCCCCCCCCACCCCCCCATTCTCATCCCACCAGTAGCACAGGCTCAGATGAGGAAAGCAACAAAACTCCTCTCACCTTCTCCTGCAGCTTCCGTTCCTTCCGCTCCTGCACCGTGGTCAGGTAGTTGACAGCCGCGTACTCCAGCACGGAGAGGAACACGAACACAAAGCTGACCCACAGGTAGATGTCCACGGCCTTGATGTAGGACACGCGGGGCATGGAGGCGTTCACGCCCGTGATGATGGTGGACATGGTCAGCACCGTGGTGATACCTGCACACATCCAGCTTTAGTTCAGCCGCTGACAAGGGTACAGAGCTGCCCTCCATTTCATTGCCACCATTTGACATTCTCCATGTCTTAAATCTAATGAGAAATTCCCCAGGCATCTTTCCCCCGGTAGAGGTGTGAGGATCCACTCCACAGGCAGCTGGGCCATTTTCCTCCTGCCCAGCTTGCTGCTTGTCTCCTCTCAATTGCAGCCCCTTGGGAGACTGGGTTTCTGTGAGGTGGCTGACAAGATCAGGAGTGCTTCAGACAGGGCCCGTGCAGATGTGGAATTAAAACAGTGACTAAAGGGCACCCCGGAAGGAACCTTCCCAAACCTCAAGGAAGGACCACATTCTCCCCCTCTAAACCACGTTTGTTAAGACAATGAAGACTGGGAAAGCTCCTAGAAGACTAGTATGCTAGTTTTTTCTTCCCTATGCCTTGCTGGTCAAACCCTCACATTTCTTGGGGCCCCACCTGATTTTGCCCAATTGGTAATGATGAGTTATAAGTTCATTTTGGAATTCACAGTCTACAAAAAACTGAAACCACAACTCCAGCGAGTGCAGCCCTCTCTCTCCGAGAAATCACAGAAAACCGGCCCTGCCTTCAAACTCTCAGACTATCTAGAGGAGGCCAGCTAAGTTTTTGCACTTGCAGAATAAGTTGTTGGCATTTGTAGATTGGTCTTATTTATTGAAGGACCGAGCTCTAAGACTGCCCGTGGTGGAAGTCTATACCCCATATAGGCCATACCTTTCTGAAACGATTCGAGTAGAGTGGATGTAGTTTTAGCTCCTTGTGGTTTTCATAACGTAATCTAGGAAACTGAGAGCAGCATGTGAACGGTGAAGGCTGGAAGCAGGAGGAAAGTTTGCTCCTTTTGACTCTGACAGCCCATCGCTTAAGGACTCTGAATAACGATTATCCTTTTTCTTTACATAGTGACCAGTTGAAAAAAATAACCGCCCTACCACACCTATCGAATGCTTTTACCCAGTGAAACTCTGGCGGGCACTGCTCTGCGGTCAATCCAGAAGGACACCCAGGACAGCATGACCATCAGCGTGGCAGGGAAATAGGTTTGGAGCAAGAAGAAGAAGATGTGACGACGCAACGTGAAGTTAATGTACAGACGGTTGTACCAGCCTGCGGGACACAGGACAAAGCCCATGAGGTTCAGTAGGAGAGGAAAAAACCCCTGCCTGGGAGCCCATCTTTTCCTGACTTTGCTCTCATCTTTAGCAGAAAGTTAAAAGTTAATAATTAATTGACTTAATATAAAACATTTCCTCTCCAAAATCTAAGCTGTCTCTCCCATCAATAAATATCTTGCCAGTATCTAGTACATACACCCTTTCATTCAGTATTATCTAACGAACAGTGCATTTATGGCATTTGGGGGAAAGGTAGAAATAAATAGAGTCTATGGTTAGTTGTTTGGTATTTGTTATTTGCAAACCACACCTGTATTTCCTGAGTGCCTGCTGCCCAGGAGTGTAAGAAGTTGGAGTGGTTCTATTTTGTTGAGGCCAAAACCACTGAGGCAGGAGCCTGCGGAGCTGGGCTCTTGTCCCTGTCCCCTTTACTGTGAGATTGGTCAGCTCAGTCAATCTCCACATCCATCACAAGAAAAAATAGGCTGTTCACATGATTCTAAAGGTGACATCCTTTTGGTAACAGTGTATGGGGATGGATGTTAACTGGACTAATTGTGGTGATCATTTTGCAATATATACAACTATCAAATCATTATGTTGCACACCTGAAACTAATATAATGCTATGTGAATTATACCTCAATAAAAAATAATAATAGTGGGAAAAAAAATAAAGAGTCATTACCGAAAAAGCACTCCATGAAACGAAGTAATAAAGATTAATGTACTTTAGATTTACCATATTAAAAATATTTAAGTAACGCTTTTAAAAGGCTTCAAATCTAAAAATAAAATAATAAAATCTGATGTCAGTTCCACTCCTGACACTCCATCCGCCTTGTGGAGTCACTCTATCTGTCTTATGCAAGTCATTTATCATTTGATCATTCCTTAGGAAAAAATGAGGATGTAGACATTATCTATTTCAGTATGGCAATTTGAGAATCACTAATTAATGGCTGTTTAAAAGGACTGAAATTGTAAGGTTTCAAATGATCCACAAGATCATTACCCAACCACTGGGACCACAGATGGTGTCAAGGATAGCGTCAATGTGTAAAGTGGACTGAAGCTGTGTGCACACGCCCACCCCAGTCCCATCTCAGCCCAGCTTTATCAGAGATCATTAGAACTCAGAAATGGTCCAGCTCTGTGTCCCAAAGCGTGAGGTACACACGATGGTGGGGTACACACAGATGATTTCAGGGGTACAGAGGCAGGTACTTTTTTCGTTTGTGTTCATCACATTTATTATTAAAGTCACCTTCTATTTGTGGGAAATGAAACTAGTTTCCCACTGATTATAATGATGTAAAGCTCCTTTTCAAAGTAAATTTCAAAAAGGGAGTTGACTTAAAGGAAAAAATTAAGTCTATGGCAGCACTGGTGATACATAAGTAAGACAAACATCACAATGGTGTTATGTAAATAAATGAGGTCACGTAAATAACTGAAACCCAGATTGAGTCTAACCCTCTTATTTGGGACATAAGGAGACTCCCAGAGGCTTATCTAAGACCTTGGCCTGAGTCGTGGATGAACTTGGGTCAGAACTCAGGTCTCCAATTCCCAGGACAGGGCTCTTCTCACACAACGTCCCTTTAATTCAGCAGTGGTCACTGAGGGTCTCTGTGTGTGAGTGCTATGCTAAGGGCTGAAGGGGATAGAGAGAAATCTAGAACTTGGTTCCTTCCCTTAAGGATTTTCAAGGAACTGAATGGAAGTCCCACAGAATGGAAGTGCTTGAGATATGGAACCATGTATACCTAAGTACTAAAAGGCCCATCAGTATAAGCAGTGCGCTTGGGTTTTGGGAAAGAGACCCGAGTCACTATTGGCTGGAATGACTGAGAGAGGACTCATGGAGGAAATGGGTTATTGCAGGAGAAGTGGAGTCCCTGGGAGCTTTACCACGCTCCAAAGCCCTGGTCTATTCCAGAGAGATTCTGACTGAATTGGTCTGGGGAGGGGACCTAGGCTTGGTTATGTTTTAAAACTTCCCTAGGTTCATAGCAGCACTATTTGCAATAGCCAAAAGGTGGAAACAACTCAACTGTCCATCAACAGATGAATGGATAAAAAATGCAGTACATGCAAGCATGATTTCACTCATAAGTGGAAGATAAACAAACACACGGACAAAGAGAACAGATTAGTGGTTACTAGAGGGGAAGGGGGTTGGGGTGGGCCTAGGGGTAAAGGGGCACAAATATATGGTGACTGACAAATAATAACGTACAACTGAAATTTCACAATGTTATAAACTATTATGACCTCAATAAAACTTTTTTAAAAGTGGTATATCCCTACAATGGAATATTATTTGGCCATAAAAAGGGATGGAATTCTGACACATAACTACAGTATGGATCAACCTCAAAATTACATGGTATGTAAAATGGGCAGTCACAAAAGGACAAATGTTGTATGATTTCACTTATATGAGGTACCTGGGATAGCCAAATTTATAGAGACATAAATAGGATAGTGGTTCCCAGAGGCTGAGGGGAAGGGGGAATGCAGAGTTAGTGTTTAACGGGGACAGACTTTCTGTTTGGGTTGATAAACAAGTCCTGGAAGCAGATAGTGGCAATGGTGCACAACATTGAGAATGACTTAATGCCAGTGAATCGTACACTTAAAAATGGCTAAAATGGTAAATTTTGTGTCATGTATATTTTGTTGAGGCCACACATACAAAAATAGTAGCCAATAACAACAAAAAGTTTCCCCAGGAAATTCTAATGTGCCACCAGAGTTGAGAAACGTTAACTCAGAGCAGTGGTTCTCAAAGTGGGTGTTCCTGGACCAGCAGCAAGACCTTCATTGGGAACTAGTTAGCAATGCAAATTCTCGGGGCCCATGAAAGACCTACTCATGAGCAACTGTGGGGGATGGGGCCCAGCAATGTGTATTCTACCCTGGGAGGACTTATCAAAACATAGATTGCTGGGCTCCACCTCCAGAGTTCCCAGGTGACACTGATGCTGCTGGTCGGAGTGCCATACTTTGAGAACATTGGCTAAAAGCAATGGTCTTTGGACTTTGATGTGCATGCAAATCACTTGTTAAACATGCAGATTCATGGGCTCCAGTGCCTAAGATCCTGACTCAGGAACTTGCAAGGGGGCCCAGAAATCTGCTTGTCAAACACGCTCCCCTGGTGGTTCGGATGTAGGCAGACCTCAGACTGCACCTGGAGAAACATTGCTGAGGGGACAAAGGGCATCTGGCTGGAGTGGAAGGTTAGCACCGAGTCAGGTAAGGGAAGGGTTGGGTCAACAGGGAAAGGCTGCAACAATAGGGTGGGTCCAGACAATTCCTGTGTAGGCTTCTGGGTTGTTTGAATGAGGCAGGTGCTCTCAGTGGAGTGGATAAATAGAAAGTGATCCTCAAAATGACAGAAACTACTAATCATTTATTCATCCCACAGCCTTTGTCTGATCACGTCAGCTCTATTTTCTCTACCTAAATTGGCATCCATGAAGCTAATCAGATTGTTCCCTAGGTTTGCACAGGGTCTTTCTGGAAGGGCTGAAAGCTGCCTTTATTCCAGGAAAGACTACTCCATTATCCTTTCCTTCTAAGAAAACAAGGGAGATTTGCCTTGGAAACACTAGGAGGGAAGCAGGAGATTTGAAAATGTACAGTCTGTGTTCCAAACAGAGTGAGCTCTCTTGGGTGAGATCACAGTCCCTGTGGGGTGGGATCATAAACCTACTTGTTGGTACATCATAAATAATGGGCGTGCAAGATGCATTCAAACTGGACTCCAGAAAGGCTTGAATAGGGAACAACACAAACAAACGAGTATGCTAGTCCAATACGAGAAACATCTAAGACAAGTACACGTAGAGACTAAGGCAGATTGCCTGGCCACTTACCAGCTGTGCAACTTCAATAAACAACTTAATCCTTCTAAGTCTCAGTTTTGTCATCTGTAAACTGGGGATAATATCTACAGCATTGGCTTGTTGGGTAGAAATTAGTTAACTCATATAAAGTATTCAAAACAGTGGCACATGATAAAGGTTATATAAAAAACTCTTAAAAATGATTTTAGAAAGAGAGTTGATTTGAACTTGCCAAGAATACATGAGAAAAGAGAACTGTGTGACAATTCGTATCAGAGCGAGAGGGAAGAGAGGGGTGAGACGGAGCCCTGTGGGCAGAAACGGAAGCAGGCCTGGCTGCCCCAGCACCAACACAACCTTGGCTGGGGCTCTCTCTTTTCTGGTGTTTGATACTGTGGACATAGGAGTGTGGGTGGGGGCAGAAGAATGGGGAGATGGTGGCCATGCAGGGGCAGACGACAGCACAAAATCTTCCTGCTGAAGGGCCTGGGCTTCTCAGCACTGGGACAAAGGGTAATGAAGTGAGAAGTCCTCTGGGGTCCCTTAGCCTCTGCAGAGCTGTGGTGGGTTGAATAGCGTCTGCCAGAAAGATGTGTTGAAGTCCTAACTCCTAGTACCTGTGAATGTGACCTTATTTAGAAATAGGATCTTTGCACGTGTCATCAAGGAAAGCTGAGGTCATAGTATATTAGGATGGGCCATAATCCAATGACTGGTGTCCTTAAAGAAGGGGGAGATTTGGACATAGATACCCAGAGCCAACACTGTATGAAGACACAGAGACACAGGGAGAATGCCGTGTGACGACGGAGACCGAGATTGGAATGCTGCAGCAACCACCAGAAGCCAGTAAGAGGAAGGAAGGATTCCGGCCTAGAGCCTTCAGAAGGAGCACGGCCCTCAGACTTCTAGCCTCCAGAACCATGAGCGAATAAACTTCTGTTGTTTCAAGCACCCAGTTTGTGGTACTTTGTCATGACAGCCCTGGGAAACTAATATAAGCGCTAACGGTGAGATTAGAGAAGAGCTGACACATGGATCCTCTCAAAGCTTCAGACAAGGCCCAGGGTCCAAGAAGAGGTCATGCTAACTATTAAAAAGTGAATCTACAGACTTAAATATAGGTAATAAATCCATTTCCTTGGAAAGCTATCTGTCCATATCAAGTTGAACGAATCAGGTTACAGAATGGCATGTAACATATGAACCCACTTTTGTGAAATTTCATAATTAAAGCAAGATGTCTGTGAGGGTGTCTGCTAAATTGTTAGGAATGATTACCTTTGGCCATGGGATTTCAGAGGGTAGCAACTTTTTTACTCTCTGCTTTTAAGTGCCATTGGTGTTTTGTAGGACTATGTGTTATTTTAATAAGAAGAATGTATTTTCATTGGGGGGGAAAAGGCTGAGGCTGAGGAAGAATTCTAATGTGTTTTCTTTCACATTGGAATCAGACCGTGGCAAAGTTAGCTACCGGTGCTGCTGTAGAAGGCCAGTCTGGAAGTGGTGTGAAACTTCTGAATCAGAAACTGAGACAGGGAAATCTTCTCATCTGTTTTCAGGGACTCGTCCCCATTCTTCCAATACAGCATCAGATCTTCATCTGTATAGGCATCTTCGGGGAGAGGAAAATAAGTTAATTCAATTCCTTTGCTTCTGATGCAGGGTGAAGCAACAGGGAAATCCCATAGCAGCCTAGGAGTGAACAGGTCTTAACCCTGGCAGGCCCTACTCAGTCTCATGGTTACTAAAATGGCACAAAGATCGAAGAGGGAATAAGGCAAAGATTTGTCATGTGGAGTACTGATACTCACAGCTTTCCAGCTCCAAAGAACAGGTCTGGGAGTCCAGGGGAAAGTGGCTGAAGTCCATGTTGCACATGGCTGTGACCGTAATCCTAGACAACCCAAACACACACGTGGGCTCGTGCAGGGCGTGCTCGGCTCACATGCCTGCCCTGAGGCAGAGAACACAGCCGACCACTTGCAGCTGCCTCCTCGTGTCTACTGCAGAAGTTTGGAAACCCAGGTGTCTAAGTTGCAGAACCTTAACTTTGAGAGTTTCGACTTCCATAGGAGATGTTATTGCTGCTCTGCCTGGGTCCCAGCTACTGAGGACATTATCTGCTAATGGCCCACACCTGCACCCTTCTCTGGGCATTGCCCTCACCAGCCCCACCAGAGATGCCCAGGAGGTTATGCCCCTCTCCATAGCCGCCACCCAAGGCTATTAGCATGTAATTCTGGTGAGCCGTACAGGCAGGCTGGAGGGTGTGGGGTAAGACTGTGTGATCCCTCCAGTTAGCCCAGAAGTCAATCTGCAACAGCGCTCAATAAACAGTAGCTGTTGTTATTTAAAATCTTTATTACCAATAAACTAGAATCATAAGCTCTCAGAGGTGGAAGGTACATATAAGGTCATTGTCTCCCTCAAATCTTTCAGGCCCAACCAGCCTCCTAACTTAAGCTTAAGGTCCCCGGCTACAAGGGTGGCCATTTCACCTTGAGAGAGTTCTAACTGGCATAGGAAAACTGGCACCACCCAGTAGCCTTTAGACCCAACCACAGCGACAAACTCTTCAGAACCACATATAGTAGAAAGGCGTCGGACAAAGAAGCCGTGACCCCACGGGCAGTTACCTCATGCTGTACAGCACGTGCCCGTCCGGGAACACCCTCAGCATGATGTTGTCAGTGGTAGTGTCGTGGATGAATGACCTTTTGGAATGAACAAAGAAGACGTCGGGGACCCAGATCTTCTTTACTAGGCGGCCATCAAAGGTCATGCTCTTGTTGCTGGTGCTGGAGAAGGCCAGCCTCTCGTCCTTCCAGTAATGCCGCAGGTACAGGGTCATGGTGAAGTCCTGTGGGAGCCGGAGCGAGACCAGACAGAAATGGCTTAGACAGCTTCCTGCCTTACAATCCACCCACCAGCCACCACTGGAATGGACACCTCAGCCTCAGCCTCCAGAGTCAGAGGTGACAGTTCTGCAGCCCCGTGGGACAATGGCCAAGACGGTGGTGCTGCAGGAACGGGAGAGAGAAGGACTCATTTTTGTGCATCGTGAGTTTGGAGTCAGGAGGCTGAGCCGCCCATCTGTCAGGCTTTGCAAATGAAACCTGCAGCTGCGAGGCTGACAGCCTGGCCTGGGGCCAGCAGGGCAGGACTTCCCCTGAGGCCTGCTCTTCCTCATCTAGACCTTTGCACACATGGCCCTTTACCTACTGGTTGGCTATTCAGTCTCAGCTTAGTGGACACTTCGAGAAGCCTGGACAGTCCAGTGTCCCATTTGGGACAGTTTCTATCATTGTTGGACTTGTGAGATCCTTGAAGGTATAGTTGTGTCTTGCTCACCATTGAATCCCCAGGCCTTACTTTGGGCCTGGAAAGGCACATAGTGGGTGCTTAATAAATATTTGCAAGATAGAAAAATCAGGGGATGATCAGATGAGGGGATGGGCAGCTGCGCATCTATTATAATTTCAGCCTGAAAGCTTATCCTGTTAAAAAGTGTCTCCTCAAAAGCATGGGGGAGAAAACAGTGTTTCCCACTTCTTTTCCAAAAAAAGGAAAAAAAAAAATGTCTCCTCGCCTGCCTTAATAGTTGATGCCTTAAACCAAGAGTTGGGCCTTACACCACAGCCAGAGCTAAAACACAAGTGCAAATAAGTCAATAACTGCCCAAAAGATCCGATTCTGGAGCAAGTGGAGGAAGGATGGAAAGATGCATGGCAGTGGAGGGGTCAGAGCGTAGCACCCACTTCTGCTCAACCCCCACACCCAGACCCCATGCTGGCTGTCCTGCAGGGCTCGCCCATGAGAGGAGTACCTCCACCCGCCTACCTCTCCAACCCCATCTCTAACCCCATTTCCCTGTTTCCTACGCTGCTGTTTTAGTTTGTAAACTTCCTGTTTCTTCTGCCTCGGGTACTTTTTCCATGCTCTTGCTCTGGCCCTCCCCATGGCTGTCACTTTCTTATCCTTCAGGTCTCTGCTGAAATGAGACTTCTTCAAAGAGCCTTCCCTTACCACCTGACCCTACTGGGCACTGCCAAGGGCACATAGGGAAGCTATGCCCTCGGCGGGCATTGGAGATCAAAGAACCACAGAACGTCAGTCTGAAAACGCCCACCCTCTGTGCTCCTCCAAGTGTGTTCATCTGACCACACGCACCACTTCAGGAGTGTGTTCAAAACGTCAAGTGCTGGGCCTCACTCCCAGAGACTCTGAATCAGGAAATCTAGGGCAGGGCCCAGGAATCTGCATTTAACCAACTCCCCAAGTTATTTTTACCCACAAAGCTTGAGAACATCTGCTCTAGAGTTTACTGCACCTGGGCCAACTTCCACTTCCAAGCTGTCTCCCCCCAATCCCCGGCTGTGCCCACTCAGGCACAGCCTGCACCCACATAGCCCTCCAGCCATGGCTCTCGCAGAAACTTAGTCTCAAGACCCTGTCCTGAGGGCTGCCCTGCCAAGGGCGCTGCGTACCATGTCCACCTCCGAGATGCTGTCCAGGCTCTCCACCTGCACGTCCACGCCTACTGGGATGGCAGGGCCTGCAGAAGAGCAAAGACAGCTGGTTATGGCGCATTTCTCTTTGCCACCTGGCTGGGAGACAGCCCCAAACCTCTTCCTGGGGAGTCTGGCTAGAGCAAGGGTGAGGCAGTGGTTCCAATTCTATAAGGGTTTTCTTGCAAATTCCTGACGTGTTGGGTTCCTGAGCTTCTGCCGTGAGGGTAGAGACTGTGTCTGCCTTACGTGCCTTTCCTGGGCCAACGTGGATGTTTGTTGGAGGAGTCAACAAGCTGGATTACCACTTTCTACATCACAGGGCTGTCTCTGTAGGGCAGAGGTAATAATGCTGCTCTAGTGTTTGAGTGGGGACCCTAGTCACTTGTCCTCCCATGACATCCATAAAGGACAGAATGAGGCCTGAGCCTCTAGCCCGGAGTCGGGGCACCTGCATGCCAGATCTGGATTCATTCAGTTATTGAACACATAGCCAGGGTCCTGCCCTCCAGAAGCTTTCGACCTGGTGTGAGACAAAATTTTGTCTGTGCACAGTTAGATCACAGCGAAAGACGACACTGTGTGAGATTTTGAAACTGCACATGTCAGATGAAAAGTACAAGAATACATACGTAGTACAGACACTCAACACCCAATTTTATCTGGCCTGAGGCAAGCTTTCTAAAATCATGCTTATCTATGGGTTTACCTATGGCTTCCTGTTCTATTTCTTGAGCTGGGTGATGGTTACATCGGTAGGTTCACTTAGTGGGCTGTACACTTGTAACTTGCGTAGTTTTCTGTGTATATGTTATGCTCCCATAAAATGTTTTTTCAGATATTAACATTTCAAAACACCTAGACTGGGAATATCCGGAAATCCGTGTCTGTCAAGCATGTCAACGAAGACCGTTACATTCACAAGTACAAAAGTTCTCTGAGAGAGTCGGGTGGCAGCTGGGCTGGTCCCCCTGGGGAGAGGGCATCTTGAGGCCAGCCCTGATGCGCCTGGGGGTGCAGGACCAGAGAACCTCAGGGTGGCAGGGCAGTCTGGGTTTCAGGGGGGGAGAAGGACTGGAAGGGCCTGAGACTGGTGGTGGGAAGGGAAGGAGGATCGGAGCTCTGAGGTGGAGTAGGAGCTAGAAGGCTCAGTCCTCAGGTTCAGCCCAAATGCGGCAGCAGGAGGTCCTCATGGAGGTGACCCAGGACATTGGAGGGGTTCACCGTCTCCCCCAACGTCTCCCCCATAGGCTTACTAAGACTTGCAATCCCTCCTTTAAAGATTTGCTTTTTTGGCTGAGCCTGATAGAATGGGAGCATTTTATTTATTACTAGTGGGATTTAGTGGATATTTTCTGTGTTCCCAAATGTGAAAGCAAATGAGTACAGCGCTTTACTTTTTATTTTTACTTTTTCTCTCTCAGATGAATCAGGCTGTAAGCTGATCCTTTTATTTTCCTGTGTTCCTCAACTGATGGCTTCGGTCAGGGACCAGGAGAAATCCCTGCCCAAACAGCCGCATTCTCTTCTTATTCTCGGCTCCAGGAGTGCTTGGAAGGTGCCAGGAGTGGAATGTTCAGTGTGGCGAGGAGGTCCCCTGACTGGCCTGCCTTTCTCACCCAAGAGGCTTGTAAGACGAGGGAGGGTCTGCCCGCAGCCTGGGCAGGGCCTCTCCCAGGACCCGGAACCCATCGCCCCTGCACAGGGCTCTGTGCGCCCCACAGTGCCATGGGGAAAGTGGAGCTGGTTAATTTCCCCATCCTCTGGACCTGCCTTAGCCTGAGATATTCAAACAGCCCAGAGCAAAGCTCTCGACCCCCAGCAGCGTTGCCTCTCATGGAAGGTGTCTATACTCCACCCGGCTCGCCGTTCCCCCTCTCTTCCTTTCTCTAAAGTCTCACGTGACCTGCAACACTTAGTTGTTCCAGAGCCAAATGGAAGAAACGATATAGCCATCACTCTCTTTGGACCCATTTCCCAGCGGCCTGGTTTTCAGATAATGAGCACAGTGTTCGGTCAGGAGCTGGTTTTGGCAAAGGACATTTTCCAGATACAATATATCAGCTTGCTCGGTGCCTGTTACTGTGTTTCTCTGCCTTGTTCCCACAGCTCCAGCCTGCGTTCTAAGAGAAATCGGATAAAGCCAGTGAGGGTGGCGTCAGTGCTCTGGAGGTATCGCCCACGTGGGAGTGCAGGTCAGGCTCTCAGGGAACCTGGTTGCTGGAGGTGAACAATCTGTGCATGCAGGAGCGTCTAGAACTACATTCAGGGGCACTCACACCGCAAGCTTGAACAGAACCAACGGCCCTGCCCTCCTAGGTCTGAGCGGCAATGCAGTTGACCTTTCTCTTTAACCTACCCCACTGCCCAAGGCCAACACTTCCGAGCTCTCCTGAACTCTCCATTTTGTAGCCCTTCTCTACCTGGTTTTGAGAGAAATTCTTCCAAATTACTGGTCCTCTCCTCCTCCTGTGAACAATTTTATGTTTTGAGTGGGACTGAGTCCTACCAGGTATTAGGAGGAATATAGTCTAGTTAAACTAGGCCTCCATGCCTTGGCCCCTTAACACAGCTGTGGGGTTTTCTGCTTTAAGAGAGGGATCTGGTAAGCCAAATAGAAGTCCTTGGTGGGATTTCAGCTAGTGGAGCCAGCAAGGTGACAAATTCAAGGCAGCCTACAGGAAATACATGTTTAGCCAAGGGCTTTTCTTGGGTCCCAGCCTTTCTGCCGTTATTTCTCTTGGTGTGGTCCTTGAAAGCACACGTTAGGAATTTATCCACTTTTGAAATAAACATATATGTCATTTCTTCCCCACCAACTCTTCAAGAATGAATGTGAGATAGACTTTTCAGACAAACTGCTAAAAATGAGAGAATCTGCCGACAGGCATCCTGCCCTAAATGAAGGTATTTTTTAAACAGAAGGAGTGTGATCCCAAAGGGAAAGCTGAAGATTCAAGAACAAATAAAGAACAATAAAAATGGTAAATATGTATTAAAAAAACATATAATTATAAGTGAACATTGACTATACAGAACAATATTAATAATGTCTTATGGGGTTGAAAAAATGAAACAAAAATACACAATGAAAACAATATTTAAGTAGGGAGGGATGTAAATGGAGTAAAAGTATTCTGAGGTCTTTGTGTTCTCCAGGAGAACAGTAAAAGTAGCTAATTAACATACTCATATGATAAGTCAAGGAATCATGTTGTTTTCTGAGGGACCACCAAAAAATAGTGAGCATGTATTTTCAAAACTAAAATAGGAAAGTCAAAATAGGAATAATAAAAAATTATCAATCCAAAAGAAAGCAACAAAGGAAAGAAAAAAGAAAGAACATAGAATAGGTTGGACAATAAATGATGATAGATTTAAAACCAATAAATAAATAATTCAATAAATGTAAACAGACTAAATGCTCCAGTTAACAAATATTTTCAGACTTGATAATTCGGAAATGCTGAAAGTTTATAAGACTGGATCAAGAAACAAAATGTAACTTTATGCTGTCTAGAGAGATGCATTGAAAATGTAAGCTACGTTAAAGTTAAACATAAAAGGATGCAAAACATATAACATGCAAATAATAACCAAAAGAAAATGGGTGTAGCCATATGATATCAAGCAAAGTAGACTTACAGAGAGTGAAAGTAGAGATAAGAGGGTCATTTCATAACAATAAATGACCAATTTATTCAATTCACCAATAAAATATAACCATTCTAATTTGTGTGCATTTAATGATATGATTTCAAAATGCAGAAAGCAAAAATGGACAGAATTGAAGGGGAAACAGACAAATCTACAGTCCTAGTGAAAGATTTTAATACATCTTTCTTAGGATTTGATAAAACAAGCAGACAAAAAAGCCCAGTAAGGACATATAAGATTAGAACAATTAACCAACTTGACATAATAGACATGTATAGGACAAGGAATGCAAAACCATATAGTACACATTCATTTCAAGCACACACTGGACATTTACAAAAATTGACCACGTACTGTGCCCTTAAGCAATTTCAACAAATTTTTAAAAACTGGAATTTATATAAAGTATGAACTCAATGAACATTAGAAATTAATAACAAAAATGTAACTAGAATATCCCCATATATTTGGAAATTAAGCAATATACTTCTGGAAGATCCATCAATGAAGAAATTATAATGAGAATTAGAGAATTTTAACTAAATGATTAAAAAAAATACTACATATCAAAATTCATGGAATGCAAACTAAGTATTCCGTACAGGGAAATTTATAACCTTAACTGAATATATCAGAAAAGAAGAGGGGCCGGCCCCATGGCCGAGTGGTTAAGTTTGCATGCTCTCTGCTTTGGCGGCCCAGGGTTTCTCCGCTTCAGATCCTGGGCGCTGACATGGCACTGCTCATCAAGCCATGTTGAGGCAGCATCCCATAGGCTACAACTAGGACCCACAACTGAAATATACAACTATGTTCTGGTGGAACCTGGTGGGAAAAAAAAGAAGAAGAAGAAGAAGAAGAAATGTTTACATTTAATGAGCTAAGCATCCACCTTTAAAAGTTAGGAAAAGAGCAGTAAAGTAGATGGAAGGAAACAATAAAGGTAAGGACACAAGTATTGAAATAGAAAACAAATATACAACTGAGAGGATCAATAAAGCGAAATATTAGTTCTTTGAAAGGATGAATAAAATTAATAAAACTCTGAGACTGATCTAACAAAAAATAAACCAAAAATTGCTAATATCAGGAATGATAAAGACATCACTCTATATACTGTAAGCATAAAAAAAGATAAAAAGAGGGGCCGGCCCAGTGGCATAGTGGTTAAGTTTGTGCACTTCACTTTGGCAGGCCAGGGTTCAAAGGTTCAGATCCTGGGCATGGACCTACACATCACTCATCAAGCCATGTGGCCAGCCCCATGGCCCAGTGCTTAAGTTCAGCGTGCTCTGCTTTGGCAGCCCAGGTTTGTGGGTTCAGATCCCAGGTGTGGACCTACACCACTCATCAGCCATGCTGTGGCAGTGACCCACATACGAAATAGATG